AAAGACGAAGCCACATTCAAGATACAAGATAGCTTATTAAAGTGCAAAAAATGTTTTAGCAGGAATGATCGACACCGTTATAAGTTGTGAGGAAATTATTTTTTTGCTTTTGGATCAGACAAATAGGGTTTATCTATTATATTTTGGACGTTATGGAATTAATAAAATATTATACGCAAAGGGGTACAGATACAGTCCATTCATCCACATTGCTTATTATTTTCTATATTGTTTTAACGTATATAACAACTAAAGTTGTCCATAAATATTTCAACTTCAGCATTTCCTGCGTTTTATGCGACGCACGTTTATGACTAAATAAACTGTTCCAGGCAGAAATAACTAAGTATCCTGTATATCAGGGGAGCTGACAGAAAACCAAGCAAGCTATCCAAAGTGTGCAGCTGTCATTTCAGAGGTGGAAAGAAATCTGCAGGGCCGGAAATTTTCAAGTAAAATGCTGGTAAACTATTCCGCTCACAAAAAACTCCTCCGAAAAAGAAAAAGAAACCCAAATCACTGGTTAATAAATTACCGACTGTTAAAGATACCATGGCCATCATTAATGCCAAATCTGCAGAATCTTCAGATACATGGAACGAAAGATCCTCAACTCCAACTGAGCAAATAATCTTAGGGGCAGAATTAAACGTAGCAAAGCAGGAGCTGAACTATCACCAGGACACCATGCAGTATGAGAAAAAACATTACTCAGTTTCAATCTTAAGTTCTGAAGTAATCAGAATGGAAACTGGTTTACCAACAAAGGAGATTTTCACAATTGTAGTAACTACCTTGTTACCAGTTAAAAACAAATAAAAATAAATGATGTGTATTCGCGCCCTTCAATGACGTCAAGAAACTGAAGTGTATCTATATTAAATAGCCACAATATTTCAGACACTGATATTGTTCTTTGGTTTGTATTAAATCTATGGAGTTGTCTTTGTCGCAAACGATATTACTGACTTTTCTATATCTAGCTTCCGGATCATGCCCTCTATATTTATCTCAGTCTGTGTCTCTCGCGGGAAGAAGGGCGTTCTTTTCCCGCTTTCTTGAAAAGAAAAAAAGGGAGTGGGGGCCTTACATGGAAGAGGGATATTTCGCGAGACACAAAGAAGGACCACAGGTAGCCCAAGCTCGAAATATACACATCGGCGAACATCGGCATTGTTGCGTAACATTCGAATATAAGGATTTGTACCCCCGGGGATTTGTATGGGAAAAAAACGTATCGTTTCTGTAACCTACGAAAATGAAAGGATTTCAATAAAAGAAAAAACAGCTTACCTTACATAAAATGTGTGTTACGTCTCTCCTGTATAGTCCATGGGCCGATTTATGGCCGTTTTATGGGTTGTACTGTAAAAGGTTAACCCGGAGAGAAAACCGTTTACAGCACAACCCATAAAACGGCCATAAATCGGCTCATGGACCACACAGGAGAGACGTAACACACATTTTATGTAAGGTAAGCTGTTTTTTTATTGAAATCCTTTCATTTTTGTAGGTTGCGGAAACAATAGGTTTTTTTCCCATACAAATCCTTACCTTTACGTCACTCTCTTTAGTGTTTACGTATTTCCTACTAATTACATGCTATGCAGCCCTTTTCCAAAGATCTAAATGATTATCATATAGGGCAAA